GACCTCAGCAGCAGAAGGAGAAACAGAGGGGACGGAAAGAGGAAAAGCATGGGATGGAGTCAAGGGAAGAGATTTGATAGGTGCAGGTTTGGGGATGGGTGAGAGAGTGCGAGATGTTGGCTGAGATATTGCCTGCAAAGAAAAAAAGGCCAACAAAATCGCTGTACAATCCTGCAAACAATGGGCTAAGAGAAAGAACTACAAAATACAGTGTTTTGGATTATTATGTCAATGTATCACACATGGTTGTTTCTACCTCTATTACCTATCTGATATTCTATATGGAGTGGCGCCAAAGAGGCTTGCAGGGACACAGTTTAACAGTGCACCTTACATAAGAACCCTCTGGCTCCATCACTGATTCGACTTTTGGAAACAGCATTTCAGATGACAGATTCCTTTCTTGAAGTTTCTGTCCAGTCAATCCCACGTACACCGTAAATCCTCAGGGGTGTCCAGACCGTGCATTAATCTGTGTCTTAAAATAGTCCCCAACATATGCACCACTTTCTCCTGCTTAAATAAAACGTTTTACAGCGACCAGCTGTTTTAGGGATTACTGTGCTATATACTGTTTTCTTAAATAATGCTATATATTTATAACCCCACTTTTTTCAGTTATAACTATAGTAGGAAAAAATGGGGGTACAGTGCTGGCCTTTTTTATGGGATATGCTGAGAATAAAAACACTTTATGCTTACTTGTTAAATTTAAACAAATGCAAATCCTGCTTTTGAATCCACGCATCATCTAATCAGCAGGATTATTCACCTTTGTAAGGGTTTCCTGAGATGCATTGTCTTCTCCTGAATCATGAGGAGGACTGTGAGGAAGTGACTCCTGGCTGCTCAGATCCGCTGGACGTCTCATTGGCAGGACCATAGGAGGTGGGCCCAAATGCATTTTCTGCTGCTGAAGCGTCATCTGTGATGACAGAGCGCAGCACGAGGATTTTAATAGAGTCACTGTTACCATACGTTTAAACAACCGGCCTAAAATAAAGAAGTGCCGTACCTGGAGAGCTTTGATTTTGCTGTTAACGTTCTCCTGAGATAAAACCCTGGTGGGTTCAGGCTCTGTCATGACCAGGTCATCCAGAAAGATGCTGTCGTGGGATAGCGCCCGTGATCCCATGATGGCCTGTGTGCATCTAAGTGGAACCAGAAGAAGGACGAGTCAAAGTAAGGACAAGTAAGTGAATCTGAAAGAGAATTTTTCGAAAGGCGTCGTGTCACGTAAACACTCACACCAAATCTTCTTCTGATCCGAGATCTTTTCCTGCAGTGATGTCACTGGCTGACTGGCTGAGTTTGGCATTTCCTTCTCCGCCTGCTCTCTTACTTCTCCCAAATAAACGAGTTTTCAGATCCTTGATCTTGGATCTTTTACGTCCTAACAGAGATTGAGACCGAGACAGATCCAGGTCACAGCATTTCACGTGCACGTGAACAAGGAGAACTCACGTGCTCTCTATTTTCTGTTTTCGAGACGTTCTATTAAAGAGCGTCTCTTTCACATTTCACTTCATGACGATGTGTTAGCACTCTCAGGTTAAACTACGAGACAGATCACCTCACCTGCGACGTCGTCTGCACTTTCTTCTGCGTCTCCCGAGAAAGACTCCATCGGTCTGATCCCTAAAAGAAAAAAAAAGTGTAGAGCAGATGACAGTTAAGTGTTCAGTGGAAAATACTTCGCTTGTTGTCTTTGCAGGAGTAAACATGGACTCGAGGTTCAAAGGTTTATTACTGTTCATTATCAGTTGGGAGGGCTGGGTGAGGACAGTCTGTTGTCAAGATGAACAACGTCTTAATCGATATTACATGCCAAGAAAAACCACCCCAGGTACTACAGAGTAGGAAGAATGTGGATTTGAAGCATGGCATCGCACTGTGCAGCCCGACAACACATTTGATGAACAAAGCAAAAGCTAAAATCTTCCTTCACTGCTTTACCATCTTACAAACATCCTGACTGAGTCGGCGTGCTACTCTATGCTAAAGTCAGTTCCAATTTTTTTCATGAAGACCAGCCTGACATTAGAATATCCCACCTTTTGCAGGGTGCTGGTGTATCTAAGGAACTGTTGTCAACAGAGCATGAGGCTGTATAACTGCCTGATAAGACAAGATGTGCCAGCTTATGGACAAACAAGCAAAGTCCACGCTGCACCTCTCACGCCACCGATTACACCCTTTTCACTCGATCCTCAAAAAAGTTGCGATCAGTTTAAGCAAATCGATTTAAATAGTATGTAAACCTCAGACTTGATTTCCTCTCCGCAGTGAAGTGCTCCCTGCGGTTTCACCGTTCATTGAGCTGAACTATAGCTCCCAGAGAAACAGAGGATAATCCGGTGGATTATTGACATTGCAGAGAGATTCTTGTAAGATTTCACAACGCCATAATGATCCACAACGCTGCAACATTTCTCCACCAGGTGACATTCCCTGGGGGAAAACACACACGCACTCCAGATGGGGAGGGAGGAAGAAAAAAAAGAAAACAATGGCTGAACTTACCAAAAATCTAAAACCAAGCACCTCAACTTGTCCCTCCTGATCGTCCTCCTCTCTTCACGGAGCGGTCTTGTATCAGCTGTGTCCCTGCCTTAATGATTAAACCTCAGACTTACCACATCTGCAGACGGAGGGAGATACCGAGGGAAGGGAGTGAGGGAGGTGGGAAAAAAACAGGCTGGGAGAAAAGAAAGAAAGGGAGAGAGAGAGAGAGAGAGAGAAGGTCACTTCCTGACAGGGTGAGCAAATGCACAAGAGAAAAGAGGACAGATGAGAATGTGTGTGTGTGAGAGAGAGAGAGTGAGAGAAAGAGAGCGAGAGAGAGAGAGAGATACTCTATTACATTAGTGGCACACTGTGGCCCTCTGTGCTAAGCTCCTTATAAAACGTTAACCTGATTTTAGGCCCAGAAATGAGAGTAGAGGGTAAAAAAATAAAAAATAAAGCTCCAGCTGGAAAGAGGACATGAATATAGGAATTATGGCTCATAGAGCTGTTTACATATTGCACAGGCTCGCTCACGCCCTTCCGATGATCAAAGAGTGGCGGCTATGGGTGTGCTGTGAGCGTTCAGAAATGAAATAAATAAATAAAAACAAACAGGAATCAGCCACCTCCCAGCACGTCACATCATTTTCACCCAAGACTGTTTGGCCACAGTCCTGAAGGTGCGGTCTTTAAAATGTTCGCCTGGGACCTTTGCTCCTCTATAACTCCCACACACATTTTTCACGATATGCGAGACAATGCCTTGTTTCGGAGCAACGAGATGACACATTGTTCCTGCGAGTCCTACTTCCTGCGCATTCACACAGGACAGTACTGGGAGATGGGAGAGCTAATCTAGGCCACTGGGCTACAATCGGCGAGAGGGAGGGCCTGCAGGAATTGGCATGCGAACGCTTGCATCTGCATCCATGTGTCTGGAAGCTTGGCTGAGCAGCATCTCCAATGAGTCTCCTTATAGATAAATCCTCGTCTCTCCCACCAGAACCCACATCCAGCTGGGTAACATCTGGATTACATCCAATGGGACGCATGCACCGTGATAAGAGCCCACAGTGACATAACAGTCTGGGATGTGGTTTTATTTAATTCCCTCGTTCATAGATTTATTGTCCATAATCTACACATAAAGGAGAATACACACACAGGCTGATTTTTATCTTATAATAGGGATGTAATGTGATTATGGCTATTATCTGCTATCATAGGGATGTTGTTTGTAGATAATAAAGCATCATACACGTTTATTGCACTTTCTGCTTTTGTCATCACAGCATTTGTCCCCCTGACAGAAAGAAAGCAAAGGTACTGACTTTTAGCAGTATATGGCAGTCTCTGATTCATGTGGTGTTGCGATGGATTATAATTTCTTCCTCTCACAGGCCAGATGAGGGCTGTGCATATCGAGATTAAGGCCGATAGATAATCCGATCACAGCGCTGTTTGAACTCACGAGGGTTACCATTCATTCTAGCAAATGTGAAAAAAAATGTGAGGGAATTTTCTTTGGTTTTTTTTTATTTTTTCACTTTTATAGACGACTTTTTTTGGCAAGATGTTTCCATTGATTCATCCAAGAACAATTAGCCGATATCTGAAACCACTGAACAAGCTTTCCCCTGCAGCTTATCTGTATTTAGTTTGGGATTCTGGATTCAGATAAGAGTTTGATGGTAATCGTTAACTAGACGTCAGTGTCTTACATGCATGAAATGTTGCACCAATACAGAGCCAGCAGAAACAGAAGAAGCTATGTCTACAATATAGCTTTGGGACATAAAAATCAGTCAAAGATATAAAACATGTACATCTCCGGTAATTGTAAGTGTTAATAACCTTATCCAGAACTCAATAATTGTGGAAATATGTAGGTTTTTAAGGAATCATGAGTTCAGTGCTCCATGACTGCTCGATCTGCTGATCCATGTAATATGTATGAAAGCTATGAAGCAGGTGGTGAATGTGCCTTAAGCTTAGACTTTGTTGTAATAAGAGTCAGAATGGGATTTGCAATGTTTGTGAACTTGTTACAGATGTAAAGACCTATGTCTGAATCAAATACAGTGTGTATAAGTGAATGAGTGGTTTTTGATGGATATACTCTGACTGTGTGGAGACTATGACAAGGTCTGATCTGCACTGACCGGCATCTGCTCTTTTTTTTTTAAGTCAGATTTTTATTGTTGGCAAATGTTTAGTTGAATCAGAGGACTCAGTCTTGTCTATCAACGCTTCATCAGACAAGCTACGATAAAATTTGACCAATCGAGAGTTGGCA